GGTATCTACCGGTCCACCGTGGCAGGTCGAGGCGCCTTATTGACAACATTTCCTTATCCCTTGTTTTTCGTTTAACGTTTTTGTAGATTAATATTGTACATGTATATTTGTCAGCAGTCGTTGTTTAGCTTAGGTGTTTTTTTATGATTTTATTTCAATTTGTTAAGATTTCGCTTTATGTACAGCTTGACAGCAAAAGGCAAATCACTTTACTAATAAGGACTTCCGCATGATGCCTCGATTCAGGAACTTTATTGTTTCTACGAATGTCCCTTGTCGGCACACCGTCGTTATTTGTTTAAATTACTCGATTTTGGCGCTACATGTACAAACCCACATTTTCTAGTTTTTTATTTACAGAGCCGTGCTTCGACCGAAGAAGCGCTACTATTCAACAAAACGTCCATATACTTACGTTTCGAAGCAGTGGAATTCTTTTGTCGGCTCAGTCTCCATTAATTTGATTGCTGATATTGTAAGCGCGTCGAAATCGGTCATAGTTACATGGAGCGCCGAGGTTGTAGAAGTGCGACATAGCTAATTGAAATGGTCTCTTTGGTTAGCGTAAGATGCGCCGACCCACCATTATCTTTGCGTCGAGGTGAGGTTGAGTTGGGAATTTCAGGATTGGCCCAGGTAAACGCTGCAGAGCTGTTTAGGAACGGCTGACAGACCACTACTGCATCCGTGACCAAACTGTGCTGCAACAAATTAAAGCTTTGAAGTAATTCCAGCAAACTTTGATATTACTCTTAAATAAGATCACGTCGCCTTCGCACTGGCCTGATTTGTCGCCTTGTGAGTGCTGTCGGCTTCTCGAGCGCTGAAGATGCACGTGACTGGTGACTCTGCTAACTTAACTCCATGTCTGAGGAGAAATCAGAAGCTTCAAGGTGAAGAGAGGTGGATAGTAGCACCCGTTGCTGCGTAAATAATCTGCTTCATTCGACTTCGACTACTTCGGCGCAATCATCGCTGTTTCTACACGCTGAGGAGAGCACAAGTCACTCCCGAAGTGGACTAAATTATTGGCTTAGCAACTGGTATGACTGTCAAGATTGGTGAGATGCTGACTAATTACTTTGGGTCGGCGTGGAGTGAACTACTTATTAACGAGGTAACCTAACGTTAGTGTAGAGGATGAAACATGCCAATTAATTCCAAAGGTTCTAATTTCTTCTGGCTGGTAACCAAAATCCACTAAGATCCGCATCAAACTTTCGACTTTCAACTCGTTAACATAAACCTCTATTTCTGGGTTTTCATATCAACGGTAATATGTTTTTGTACCATTCAACTTATAAAATATTGGACTTTTAGTCCATATGTCAATTCGTTTTCCTTCAAACAAGGACAGGTTTGCTTGGTGTATAAAGCAATGCAATTCATTTACGGGCTCCGATCGCAACTGCTATTTGGATTTGCAAGATTTACAAGGTATAACGTGCACCAACACCGTGTTTCACATGGGGAAGCTCTGGATTTCTAACAATGCGAAAAAGCTCGAATGATCATAGTTTTACTCTCTCGTCGTGTTAATTACAAATAGCCACGACTATCATATCGAGATAACGTTTGAAATTCTAAAAAAAAACTTGAGCCTAAAATAAAATTCTATTATGCCCTTCAAGCATTTAAGAACCGCGTCGAATAATATTTTAAACAAGGAGAACGCGACTCTAAATATACTAGCATTCATCAACAGTTTTTTTTCCTGCGTTACCTGGGGAAACTGACGTCTGCGACGATACTGATATCGTCTTTATGCGGAGTTAGTGCAGCTCGTTCGTTGTATCTTGAACTGGAGGCGTCGACGTATACGTCGAGAAATTAGTTTATAAAGCGTCCAATTTACACCATCGCACCAAGTTGAGCGAGTCCAGGATTCATATCAGACAGGTGGTAACAGCCCGATTTTAACTTCATTCGCCAGTGCTTGCATGAGCCAACGGAGCGTTGCGAGTCCAGATTCCCTTGATGAATACTTCCTTGGCCTCTTGATGTAATCACGGTTTTCGCATTCTATAAGTGTAGCTTGAAATGATGTGTTACCTAGTGTCATTTCTCGAGTTACCGCCCTTGGAGCGTCAGAGTCCTTCTTGGGATGTTTGTCAAACTCAAAGGAGTAGTCTGATTGCTTTTTTCAATATGCCGACAGAAAACTCCATAATGATGGAATTGTCGCTAAGTGCATACGCGACCAAAACCAAGTCATACCCGAATACGACTAAAAAAAATGTTAATCGACTGGCGTCAACCTCCATCGGATCCTTCGAGCCATGAAACCGTTGAGCTTATGCACTTTTGCGGCCTTCTCAGGCGTCGAAAAGATCCTGAACACGTAGGTCAAGCAACATGGGGCTTGGGACATGACTCAGTACCGAAATTAAAGGTGAAGAGTTTTTGCTAGCCAAGACTCATCACAAAGGACTGTTGCTTGGGTCTGAGCTACATACAGTAATGTGCGTCACTAAGGGACCTATGATATGAATATAGTATTACGAGCTATATCTGCAAACAGGTAGGTAATGTAATACAAATTTGGATCATATTGCACCATAAACAAGCGCGTGACCCGCGGCATTCTTGAATAGAACCAACGTCGAGCTAC